TTGCGAAAACTCACACTGACTAAATCAGACATATTTGAGACTTGTGTTTTGATTTTGCAAGGAGTAAAGATTTAAAAAAAAAAGTTTTTATAGTTTTTCAAAGTTTCATACCTGCCATACCTTTGCATTTCGACCAATCTAGGTGACACTTTGCAAAACGATAACTTGCAACTGCCCCTACAAACTAGAAGAAACATGTATGGGATTTGTACACATCTTTTGATTTTACAGGGGCAAAGGTAAAAATAAATCACTATGTATATAACAGGGAGCTCTGAACGAAGAGACGTTGTCTGTATACGTAAACGTTAGAAGGGGTTGTTATTAAAATTAACAAGATCAACAAATTAGGAATTTAAGAACCAGCAAATAGGGATCGTAAAAAAAGGTAAACAAACAAGGCTGGAGATACTGTAGACATTATTTATTCAAACTACAAACTCCTATTTTGGCTCCATGCTGACACCTAGAATTAGATTTGGTGGAGCCAAAAGAGGAATTTGTAATTTGAATAAATAATGTCTAAATTATCTCCAGCCTTGTTTGATTACTTTATTACGACCCCTATTTGCAAGTTTTTAATTCTCAATTTTTTATTTATCGTTTTTGTTGGCTTTTTTATGCTCAACTATGGGCAAAGGATTACTTGATATGATAGCTAACTTTATACATTGTAATGATAATAAACATAGCTAGTAACTAGCTAATACGGTTCATGATGATTTACTGTAGCTATTGACTATTTGATCGCATTAGTTCGAAATGTAAAATGTTAAGCTGCAGCTGGAGATTTTTATGGACATTTGTTTGAGAATATAGTGAGCATTTATACTTTCTGTGTAACTAAATTCTTTATGTATAATGCATAGCAATGGACAAATGTATCCCCAGACTAAGACACAACCCCCACAAAGCGCGTATGAAATTTTACCAGCAGAAAAGCAGCCTTTTCAAATAAAACATATACGTCTAAATCATCGCTTTAAATAAATCTTTGTATCCTTTAAAGTGATTATTCTACGAATGTGTGTAATAAAATTTAATATTATCTGTATTGATTTTTTTTACTCCTTCACTTCATACATAATCTAGGGGTCGGCTCCCTAAAGACACCGATTATATAGTGTACAAAGCATTGAGTATCTACATGGTACAGTCATCTAATGTTCATCTATTATTGGCTGCTATTTCCTGTTCTACCCCGTACTTAAGCTTTTTAAAGGAACACAAGATGTTTGTAGGAAAGCTACCTTCAAGGACTAATGATAACATCGTTTACACTAGAATTATAATGTTTTGTTTTTTTTATCTAAGGTAAAATGCTCCCCAGTGATATAGCGGTATGTCTGCATATTTACAACCCTATAAATCATGTTTCGATACCCGCGGTGGGGAAAGCACAGATTGCCCATTGTGTAGCTCTGTGCTTAAATTAGAAACAAACAAACTTCTGTAAAATATTGAAGAACAAATCGATTTTTCAATACCTCTACGACCGTTGCAGTACCTTATTTAGTACTAGCTGAAGTACCCGTACCCTGGACGGAAGTTATGTAAATTCATGATTAATGAAAGGTTATCTTAGGACATGAAAAGTTGCTTCCCTTATATGTAATTAAAAAATAATAATAAAAGCTGGTAAACACAAAATGTGAAACCGCAACCTTGTATGCATCTCCCCATGGATCCATTGAACCTCCATACCAAATTTGGTGAAGATCATCCATCCACAGCCTGCGAAGTAGTCACATGGACATACAACAGACACTACTATATTTATATTTATATAGATTACAGTATATTTGTAGATATGAAGTAGAAAATACACGTAAATAGGGTTCACATTTGAGATTAATTACCAGCATAAATAAACTATTTATATAAACTTTAATGATAATAACATAGCTGATTATTTCTCATTCTCCAACTAATTTTAGAAATACTCGGCTATATTATTATCAAACCATTCAAAACGAACAATGAACTTTTGCTAATTCGAAATAAAATAACAAAATCAGTGTATAAATTTGTATCTGTTAGACAAAAATATTATACTTTTGTTTGTCAAAAAGACTTTAAGTGTAGATACACGTTACAAAGGTTCAATATTTGTATAATGTTATTATCTACATTTTAAATAACGGTTTATCAAGCTACCCCGAAAGCTTTATAATTACATTTCATCAATACCGTTTCAAAATTTCATAAAAATCTTCTGAAACATAG